TAATTTTATTTTAAATTTAATTCAATCCAATATATCAATACATTTTAAACCCAACTCAATTATTTATGTTGAATTGATATTTATATATATTTAGATAATTTATATTTGGTTTTACCACTTGTTTATTGATCTTGTTGGTTATAACTAATTGTGTTTTTGTAGTTTGTAAAGGTAAAATTTAGATGTTATTTAAGTTGTACAAGGAATAAATTCATTTGTTTAGTTATTTGATTTTATATTTAGAAAACTTTAATTAATTGTGTTTTAATTTTTTAAAATTTTATTCATTATAATTAAATATTAATTAATTATAAGTAAAAAATTTCATATTTTAATATCAATAAATGGAAAATAGGAATCCCTCATTCTTCATGGAGAATGGGGCCATGGAAAAATCAATCCCCATCGAGGGGTAAAATCTACCCCATCAAAAATTCTCACGGGATCTCTATTCCAATGAAGACGAGAAGGAGTCCCTGACCCCACGATGCTTGTTGTCACCTCTAATCACATCCTGAGGCAAAAGTTTATTTTTAACCCTTTACCTTATTAAATTTGTAAGTTTTAGCCCCCATATTAAATTATGACACTTTTAACTCTTTACTTATTAGAAATAAAGAAAATAACCCTCACTTATAACATTTTATTAGTTTGTTAGTTGACTATTAATTCTATTAGTTAACTATTAGATGAAAAAATTTACTTTCAGTTAATAGAGTTAACAGTCAGCTAACAGAATTATTCTTTTAACTGACTGTTAGTTAGTAAAAATTTATCTTTAATTAACAGAATTAACAGTCAGTTAATAGAATTAGCTTTTAGTTAACAAAACTAACGAAATATTATAAAGTGAGGGTTATTTTTTTTCGATTCTAATGAGTGAGGGGTTAAAAATGTTATAATATAAGGAGTCCCTGATCCCACGATGATTGTTGTCACCTCTAATCACATCCTGAGGCAAAAGTTTATTTTTAACCCTTTACCTTACTAAATTTGTAAGTTTTAATCCCCACATTAAATCATGACACTTTTAACTCTTTACTTATTAAAAATAAAGAAAATAACCCTCACTTATAACATTTTATTAGTTTATTAGTTGACTATTAATTTTATTAGTTGACTATTAGATGAAAAAATTTACTTTCAGTTAATAGAGTTAACAGTCAGCTAACAGAATTATTCTTTTAACTGACTGTTAGTTAGTAAAAACTTATTTTTAATTAACAAAATTAACAGTCAGCTAATAGAATTAGCTTTTAGTTAACAAAACTAACGAAATATTATAAAGTGAGGGCTATTTTTTTTTATTCTAATGAGTGAGAGGTTAAAAATGTTATAATATAAGGTAAAAAGTTAAAACTTATAAATCTAATAAGGTAAAGAATCAAAAATAGGTATTGAATCAAAAATAGGTATTTGCGTGATTCATTCAATAGGAAATTAAGAAATTTCAACCGTTGTTTATGACTTTTTGTACACCATCTCATGATTCCAAATTTCCAAAAAATCGGTTTTCTTGATTTGTACTATATCAAATATTCTAACCTCCACTGGAAGGTATCATTGGAATTTTGCAAATTGTTCGAAATCTTGAGATGGACTTGAGCTTCGTTCATGGCCATACAATTATTAGTGTTTTTCACTTAATATATAAAAAGTATTTATTTTAAAAGTATTAATATTTTTTATAAATTTAAATTTTTATAAAAAATAAAATTAAAA